CTACCATCCTAGCGAAACCCTTATCCCCCTGCATGTAAGAAAAGCCCAAAACACAGCTAAACATGCGCTCATATCGTAACATAAGAACATTTATGCTGTTAACGATTTGAATGCTTCAAGTTTAGCGCAAAAACCCATGATCGCATTGAAAATCCTGGTGGGTAGCAGCCTGGGTTTTGTTATACTGACGACATTCTTTCACTGATATTACTAGTGAAATTTATGGACCAGCTTTCCAGCTCAACACTGCTTACTTTGGCATGTTTCCTTGACCTTGGATGGAATGCGATAACGATTGCTGTCTGTCTGACATATATAATAAGACCCTCGACTACCTTTTCACTATGTACCAGGGTGGATTTCCTGAGAGCGATATAGATCATGTTGTACATGAAGGGTATATGTCTCCTAACTGCTCCGATGTGCACGGATCTGCACTCTTTCCAAATGGTTAATGGGGATACACATGCGTAGAAGGTTCAACAGCACCAGAATAGAACGGTTGGTTTCTAGATCCTGCTTCAGAAACAGGGCTTTAAGCCACTAATCAAAGTAGCGCAACATTCCAGGAATTCCGTTATAAGCAGCTCGCTGTAGACTACATTTTCAGGCAAAGCAAGCAAACGCCCTGTGCAGCAATTAATCCAGTTGCGCTGAGAGGAACCAAGACAAAATGTAAATCTGTGTGAACCTTGTTGCACCTCGTCCAGGAACGATGTTGACTGTAGCAAGTATGCAAAGTATATGGCAGGCTATTTCTTGATTAGTGTTCAACGCCGGCTGGCAGTTTGCATGCCATCAGCAGGCTTTTCCGACATCTTTGTACACGCAAAAAAATTGATGGATTTAACCTGAACATCAGTGTGACGCTGTCGCCAGTTTTGGCGGACACGTAATGACTCGACATACCGTGCTGCATTGCAAATTTTGTGTGCCTCTCTATACGTACTGCCCGACGGTGTTCCAGATCCGTCTTATTACCAACGAGCATCAGTACTGTTGACTGAAACATTCACCAGGATGTTTTACTGCTGCACACAGAATTCACTCATTTATTATTATGCATTTTTTGCATCTACGCAATCAAAAATGCATATTGTCGAGGGGTTGTCTGTGTGTGTGTGTCTGTGTGTATGTATGTGTGTGCGTCTGTAACGAGTTTTCTCAGGACTCACAAAAGCTACAAGGCTGAAACTACGGTAGGTTAATCTACACATACGTGAGGGCTTCTATCCTGAAAATGGACGCTCAGGTCCGCTTGATTCTCACGTACGGGCGCGTGAAACTTTTTTTGGCGGGGAAGCCTTTCCAGGAACGGCGCAAGCTAGGAAGCTGGAACTTCACGTTGATCATCCTTGATCGTGTTTAATCCAAAGAATTCATCCCTAGGTCTCACGTACGCACACGTCATCAAAGTCTGAGCTGGCATCATGCCAAATCCAGATTTAAGCTGACCAAGAAGTTGTAGAGAGCCGCAACTTTGCAGCGTTAATTGTTGCTTACTGTTTTGCCCGTGAAAGTAAATTGAGTTATCCAGTCTTTCTGCACGCCACGTACGGATATGTAAAAATTTCACGCATGCACTTTTGTAACTTCAGAGTTGAAGCATCTAGAGGACTGGAACTTTCTAAGCATAACCGACGGTGACCTTTGACCAGATGGGCACAAAAACGAAATACACATCACTTACACGTCTCACATGCACACGCATGAAATTCGGCGTAACTTCGCAAACAAACAGCTAGAGCACTGAAATTTTCTGAACGTTGCCCAGGATCGTGTTTGAGCAACCGCACGCAAAAAAAGCATTCACGTTGCTACCCACGTACGAACACGTGAAGTTTGACGTAACTCCGCAACCGAAGCATCTAGAGTGCTGAATTTTTTAGGCATGGATTGGGAGTCATTGTAATAATTTCTAACAGTCGTGGTAGCTACTCTCAATTCTCCTAGCTAGAAGCATCTGTCGGGAAAAACAGTGCCACTAGCAACAAAAATTTGGGGGGAGGGAGGGAGGAGAGACTGTGCAGAAAACGCGTCTTCGCACTGCATCCGGTGAGTTTTCGATTAAGTTTGTATCTGTGCAATGCAAAAACACACATTGTTGAGATGTGTGTGTACCTGTGTGTGCGCCTGTACCGAGTTTTTATCTCTAGACCTACAAAAGCCACAAGGCTGAAACTTTGGCAAATTAATCTACACCTATGCGTGGGCCTTGATCCTCAAAGTGGCGGCGCATACCCACATTGTTGTCACGTATGGACACGTGAAAGATTTTTTG